GAATAAATTTGATATTACCTTAACTTGTAATAATTTAGATTCGTTATCTCATCCCTAATTAGCAAGGGTGACTTAATAAATACAAAATTACGCTCGAAAACAAATAACTTATCAGTTAAGTCAGGAAAGTCGGACGTTTGGGGTAATTAACTCAGCAGGAAAATTTATCGTATATAAGTTTCATCTGAGAATCGTGACGGACGCCAGATGGTAGTGTTTACCGTCTTGTCTCCGTCCAGCTGGTCAACACAGATTGTGCGGTGTTGTGTCAGTGTATGTGTGCGTGTGTGTGAGCTCAGGGACAATACTGCACTAAGCAAGGAGCGTGACGAGCGTCTCACCCAAGGGCTTTCTCCTCATGCGCGGACAAAAATACCATCTGGACAATTTACCAGCGACAATAAAAGTATCACTGGACAAAACTTCACTAAAACTGAAATATTGGACAAAGTCCCATCTCTTCAGGTTAGGTTAGGTAAAGCTAGGTTAGGTTAGGTTCTGTGTGGTTTGATTTGATTTGATTTGGTTAGGTCAGGTCAGATTAGGTAAGGTGGGATTTTGTCCAAAGTGACGCGGAGACGTTTTATGTTTAGTGAAGTGTAGTGTAGTGGCTGTGTGGGTGTAGCGTCGTGGTAAATACACAGGTTTATATGCTGCTTTACGTATCATGCTGGGGCACACATTGGGTACGTTATTAGAAAGAGAGAGAGAGAGAGAGAGAGAGAGAGAGAGAGAGAGTGCTAGCTTCTAAGAATACCAATAGTTCTGTCGTCAGAGGTTGTGGTGTTCCCAATAGCCGATAGATGGCAACACGGCCTGTGTAAACATTAGTTCTGTAGATGGTGATGGCGTTTCATCTTAAAGTCAATAAAGGCTTTAACCGACTGCCTCCAAGATGGTTCCAAGTGCCTGCTGTCTCTCTCTTAACTGATATATCGTAAGATTAATAGTTTGTTGGGTAGTTTATTATATACGAGTGTGTTAGATACGATAACCGGGCTGAAGATATTGTAAATAAGACGAATTTACTTAATATATAACGGAGATGGAGTATAAATAGGACGATAGAGGAATGGTTATGATAAATGTGTGAATAAAAAAGTGAATTTGTTGATTTAAACGACGATATGAAGATATTTGTCTTGTTCAGCAGTTAGAGGGAGAGATGGTGGGGTGGGCTGGGGTGGGTTGAACTGGTGGGTGGAGGAACCTGCTATAATAAGACTCAATTCTGGTACAAAAACACGTTTGGTAAGATTAATGTGTGTGTGTGTGTGTGTGTGTGTGTGTGTTGGATGATGGAGGCTTACCTACCCCCTCACCCCTCTTTCTCACTCACCATGAGACAGGGCTTTCCAAGGTGTTCAGGACAATGACGAAGTGGAAAGAAAAGTTTTGAATATTTTTACCGCGTCTGGCACAACATGTTGTCGGGGTGAGGGGTAAATTTGTTTATTCACACACACACATGATGTTCCGAGTGTTAGATAAATCTAGAATATATTTGGGGTAATTATTAGTGATTGTGTGTTAATTTAAAAATCTTGACAGCCATTAAAACGAGATACATTTCAGTAAGGTATTATTATTATTACTACTATTATTATTCAGATTATCCAACAATGTTTTCTGATCATCGAAAGTTCCAGAAACTATTATCCGGTGAGGCTCCCCCCCGAGGATGAGTTGCCAGTTCTAGTATAAACGCCGCCTTGTCTTACACCCTGTATATATGCGTAATTCCGGGTTGTGTTGTTGTGTAATGAAAGTTCTACCTTCTCTCTTGTGTTGACATTTAATTAATAAAAAACTAGATAAGACCTTAGTTGATACGTTGTTGTTTTTTATGATAAACAGAACTTGATGTCGTGTGAGTGTGTGTGTGTCGGCAAGAAAAACCAGCCTTGTAACCCGACTTTAGAGTACGTAGTGACATGACTCTGTATTCTCGGAGCTTAATGTTAAACTTTGTCTCGTAAGTGGTGTTGTAAGACACTAACTCACCGACCTATGTACGCTGAAACACAACGAAAATCATAAATATGGCGACATAATTACACTGAGACTCTACCTAAGCTAGATGAGTTCACGTAGCAGATTTATTTACGAGATAGATTTTTACATACAGGATACCTTTACGGGCTATTTACAATGTTAATTTTACCAGTCAAGGTGTCTGACTAAGTTTGTTGTTTTGAGGTAAAGTTAACCAGATATTATTATGACATTGTTTTACTTACGAACTTTTGAGAATGTCTACCATATTTAATGTCTTGCTTTTTTTTTTATGTGCATAATGTCTTATTTTTTAGGTTGTTTAAATGTCAAAGTATCTCCTTTATGAAGTGAGAGTGGCTCGGACCAATCAGATCGTAGGATGATTTACCAGTTGACACAGCGTAGCCAATCAGGTGACCTCCTGGATAACATTTTAGCCAATAAGAACACAAGGTGACCTATTGATGAACAGAGTAGCCATTCAGGTGACCTCTCGGTTAACATTTCAGCCAATCAGGTGATAGAGTAAACGAGCTGGGGCAGTTAATGGCCAAAGAACCAATTAGGTGACAGCTGGTAACCAATAAACCAATCAAGTGACAGGTGGTGGCCCTAGAGAACATTGCTACACCTTGATGGGTTGTGCAGATGGCTAATACGAGAGAGAGAAAGAGAGAGAGAGTCAACCAATATGAAGCCAACTAGCAAGATGATAAACAAGAAACCGACCAATCACAGTCCAGTAACGAGACAGCCAACCTTCGAGTAGTGGTTACCGGCGAGAAATCAGCCAATGATAGACCAGCAACTTAGGAATAAACAAGTCTCTCATTTCTGGAGACTTGAACGATGCATTAAGGAGTTATCCAAAGAGTCTTAATAAATAGTGAAATAATTCGATTTATTTCATTTTTGTTGAATACGTTTTTCTGTTCTTTTGTTTTATCGTTTAAATGTCTGGCTGTGTGTGTGTGTGTGTGTGTGTGTGTGTGTGTGTGTGTGTTACTAGCGACCCCCTACCCCCCCCCCGCCCCCATTAAAACACCTGTCTTTAAAGCCCCATTATCTTCTCTCACCTGCGTCCCTCTCCTCACCTCCTCACTCTCCTCCCTCCCTCTTCCTCCCTCATTAAATCTAACACATTCCTACACCTCCCTCACAATATTGCACCAAGACTGTATTTGTTGACCATCATCATCATCATCATCATCATCATCATCATCATCATCATCATCATCATCACCATCACTATCACCATCACTATCACCACCACCATCACCATCACTATCACCACCACCAACACCATCACAGAAACTCGACCTGGCGTGGTGGTTACGTCTTCATAACTACAGAGTGAGGGACGGAGGCTGTGTGTGTGTGTGTGTGTGTGTGTGTGTGTGTGTGTGTGTGTGTGTGTGTGTGTGTATGTGTGTGTGTGTGTGTGTGTGTGTGTGTGTACGAGCCTCTTACACATATACCCCCAACATACCACAACTCTAACTACTAACACCTTCTCCTCCTCCTCCTACTAATCATCAGGCAAAGGTATCGTTAGTGTGGTGTGGTGGGCGTGAAGCAAGGTACAAGGGAGGGAGAGAGGAGGGAGGCAGGGTGTTGGCCGTCTCTCATATCATCTCCCTCAATTGTCTCTCTTTCGGTCTAAATCTACGACCGAAACCAACTCCTACCCTCATATTCCTCCATGCTCCAGGTGTATACAGGTAGTTGTGTGAATCTCATGGTTACCTGTGAGGGAATAATGAGGAAAATACGGGCAGGTGTGAGAGGCCTGGGCAGGTAACCTTCACCACGGCCCACTCGCTCGCTGCCCCCACTCACTCACTCACTCACTCACCACTACCCCTCCCTCCCTCCCTCCCTCCCTCCCTCCCTCCCTCACTCCCTCCCTCATTCCCTCCCTCCCTCCTTCACCATTTCTACTCGGGTATACGCCCTTTTTATACCTCTCTTAGCATTATTCCCAGTCGCCAGTTAATAAGGTAAAAGCGAAAGTTACCTCAGGAATAACTTAGCGAGACCCGGCTAATGTGAAGGACTCGCTTCATGTGAGAAAAACCACGCGTTTCAGGGCATGTGTAACCTAGCCACGCGTTTCATTGCATGTGTTTTGTTTAACCTAACTTAACCTATTCTGACTTGCTAATCCAAGTAACTAGACTAATCCGATATGATAATCCAAGTAACGACACTAATTCGACATGATAATCCAGGGGAGGGGTGAATAATCCTATAACAGTAGAGTAAGATATCGACTCAATAATTCGTCGTGATAATTTAAAAGAAATGAACCATTAATTCAAAAGAGAGTTGAGTGTGGTGGTGGTGAGGGGTGGTGTGGTGGTGGTGGTGGTGAGTGTGGTGGTGAGGGTGTTGAGGGGTGGTGAGTGTGGTGGTGGTGGTGGTGTGAGGGGTGGTGTGGTGGTGGTGAGTGTGGTGGTGAGGGGTGGTGAGTGTGGTGGTGAGGGGTGGTGAGTGTGGTGGTGTTGAGGGGTGGTGAGTGTGGTGGTGGCTGGTGGTGGTGAGGGCAGCTGGGTGGACGCGACAAGATCTCCCGGGGTCGTGTACCTGTACTCGCCATACCACTCCCCACCACATCTCACACACCTTTAACACTCACTTCTCTTGTGAATTCTCAGCTCACGTCAGGTTTACACAGTTTTGTTATGCTTATGAGAGTAAATAATGGTGTCAATAATTCTTGCGGTTTGATAAGTAATACAGGTATGGTCACCGGGGGAGAGATAGGTCATCCCACACAAACACACACTCGCTCCTTCCAGTAAGATCCACAGTTCTACGAAATCAGTTAACGTGTAAATGACTGTTGTATCAGAGGAGATAATGTAGTTACTCTTCGTCTGTAGATAAGATAGTACTGTAATAACAATGGAAATCACTCTAGTCCATAGACGGCCACAAGAGGTGACAGGTGTGGGGCCTCTCTCCCCTCCCCGGCAAGACGCGAGAAACTCAAGTCTTACCTGAAAGTCCCGGGAGAAGGCTGCAGTTGTGGTCGGGGCGGTCACACTCCAGGTTCTGAGAGACGGTCGTCGCCAGCCAGCCAGCAAGGCTCGGCAGGGCAGGGCGTGCCCCACTCTTGCCCCGAGTTTCTGGCCTCCGTACACTCCCACTTTCCTTCGGTCGGGATGGGGGCGACCCGCTGCATGGGGACCCAGGAGTGTGATAGCTCGATAGTTGTTTTTGTA